TTTTTCGAAATTTGGAGAAATGGAGCAGATTAAAAATACAATAGTGAAAATTATAAATTTATTTCTCGATATGTATATCTGAAATGTGTTAGGCTGTATCAAATCTAAAATACAAAATTTCGATAAAAAATATTCAAATATATTATATATATTTTAGGTTGACTATTCAAATCGTTGTATCAAATTAAAAGGAACTTGCTGGTTTCTGTATTTTCAGCAAAAAAAAAAAAAAAAAAAAAAAAAAAAAAAAATAGATTTTAGAAGGATTTGGATATCATTTCATTTATCTCTTTGTCTGTATCTCTTTCTCTCTGACTGTCTGTCTTTTAAACATCCGGAGCTTAAAGAAGTTCCCTTGACTAGCTAGAAAACATAGTAAAACTCCAATAATTACCATTTATATAGCACAAGGGCATATATAAATGTTTTGGCAAGTGATATCTCATTGTTCAGGAAAGATGGACCTGTGTTTCTCCTAGATGTTGCAAGCCATTTCTAAATTTTATATCATTAAAGGTTGCAACTGCAACGCTTAATGATACACTAGTGTGTATCATTAGTCGTCGATTATGTCGTTATTTGCTTGTTTCATTAAGTGTCAGTGTTCCTCTGCATTTGTGACGCTTAATGATATAATTCTATCATTAAGCGGCGATTTAGCATTAGCGGTTGAGAATGTCAGCTATTAATGTAATAATTTATGGCATTAAGCGCTGCAATTGCAACGCTTAATGATATTTGCATCATTAAGCGGCGTTTTATCATTAGAGGTTGCTACAATGCTTCACGCCTGCATAACGCGCTTCATGAAATATGCCGGCATGAAGCGTCGTAGTTCATGTCCACATGAGTTCTCAAAAAAAAAAAAAAAAAAAAAAAAAAACTCATTTCTTTAAAATATCGTACTGGTAGGAAACAAGAACAGAAAACCTGACAATCAATATTTTTCGGAATATGCTCGCAATTATTTACATTTGACGGGTGCTTCAGTGGTCGGCTATAGCTGGTCTCAAAAATATCCACACATATTAATAAACTAATGGATATACTAGTATTTGTTCTTTCTTTAAGTTTGAAGTATAACTTGCGTGCCTTTCGGATAAGACTTAAAAAAGCTCGGTCATGTTTTATGAGAAATGATGACATGATGAAAATCGCATACATCTCAATTACCACGAGTTTTCAGTAAAAGCTATTTACCGTCATACATTGACTCCTATTATAATGAAACAATCTTGCAAAGGACATAAAAAACAAATCAAACAATCATACATGTAATACGCTTATTTCAAAGGACACACCAGGGTTCTTCACATTCTCAATTTGCCATGATTGCTATAGAAGATTATAAAAGATTCTACGCGACCTGTTTTTTTTTTTTTATTATGAGTATTATTATGTATTTTGATGATGAATTATTTGATTTTTAATGTAATATCAGCCAATTGTTTCTCGGTACCAGAATGATATCATTTCTCTGTATTAATTTGCCTTTTCTCTCAAGATGCATATAATACAAAACCGAAGAGAAATTATTTTTCACACAGGCAGATTAAGCATGAAAAACAAAAATATTGGTACCTACATGTTATAACAAACATTCATAAAGAATGAAGTTACCCATGATTATATACTTAGATTAAATACCCAGTAGCTTTTGACATTGAACGCACACTGTGGTATTTAAATGAAGTAAACGGTCCACTAATTTTGACAAGCCCATACTTGACCATAATAATTAAATCCGAAGTAAGTGTTCTTTTTTAATATGAAGACATCCATCTGTGTTGTTACAGGCATTTGAGGGTTTTAATGCATTAAGAGCATAACGTTACCTTCTCTAACAATGCTATTGTAGGCTTGTAAAAAAAAAATACTGTTGTGTTTGTTTCTGTCTGGTTTTTTTTTTTTTTTCGATGTTTGATTTTGTTTACTTGTTTCGTTTTTTTTTAATGCAAAGAATGTAATAAAAATGAACATTTTAAAAAAAATTAATAGATAAAATAAACATCCGACAAGATCTTAACGCTCCTGAAGAGAATGAATGATTAAAATGAATAAAATATATTTTAAACTAAAGTAATACATGTATAATGTTTCATTTAAATATTAAAGTTCACAATGAAGATGTTGGAGAATCTTCGATTAATACTTATGTAAGTGATGACTTACCATATCCCGACATAATATATATATATATATATGACAAATAATAACCATCAAATAACATATCAAAAACCCAGTAAACTTCATGTCAACAAGTTACTAACATTCAACCAGGAAGTAAAATATCTGATAAACAGACCAGAACTTCTTTTATTGACAATTTTAAATATCTGCCAAGCTGAAAAAATTCATAATTTTTCAATCCGCCAATAAATTTCCATTTTCACGTTAAGTAAACCGCAATCTTTAAGCAAGGGCGTGTATTGAACGACTTTTGAACGTTTAAATAAATAGGAGTGATATCAAGTAAGATTTAAGCTTGAAGAGCTTATCTTACTCATTAGACCATGTTTGATCTAATACAATATATGCTTAACAAATGAATACCCGAATTTACAATGAGACGATGAAGTTATCTTACAGAGGATGACGCCCCAGTTATACATACTAGTGTGCTTTGTAAGTGCGCAAGAGTAAGTTTTAATTATACATGTATGAGAGAGAGCGACGGAGGGGGGGGGGGTGTTTTTATTAAAATGTTTGTAATATGCATACATCAAAATTATTAAAAGACCTGGATATTTATACTTACAGTAACTGAAATATAAAGTAGAAAAGTTGGACTACTAGTATTTTATAAAAAAAAAAATTTATGTAAAAGTCCATGTCTTATCTTAAACTTTTATCAATGGAATGTGATTTATTCAATTTTATCCCAGAACTTTACACATGCGATGGCCAATAAAGAACATGTAATTGCTAATTCTACTCTTAAATCTAGGCCTGGGGGTGGGGTGGGGGGAGGTCCGGACTCCCCCAGGATTTTCAGCGTTAAATATTTAGAGCTATTAAATTATCTATGTTCAGGCCAAAAAAAGGCCTATGACAACCCTATCCCACTCCACCCAAAATTTTTCCTTTGGGAAACACAGCGTCCTCGAAAATTGGTATGGAAAATGTGTACCAAAAAATTTTATTTTCTGCTTGTCAAAAAATTGACAAGTCGAATATTTGTTTGATTTGTTATGGATCCCCTCCCCTCCCCACCTTGCTTCGGAAAAAAAATCTGGATCTCCACACGGTTTTATTTTATATATGCTAGATGAAATCCCGCGCAACCGCGGGGAATTGAATTTATACCACTACCGACAGAAAAATTCTGATAATATATATATTTGTATTGTAGTTTCTACTGACAGCCTACAGGTTTTAAGCAGGGAGAAATACTTTATTTATGAAGTAGATGTATGTCTCCCCCCCCCCCTTTTTTTTTTAACTCGAAACTAGCAATTTCATTAATTTACGTTCATATTGCGAAACCTGTTATACTATGTTATGGATATTGCATTTCAGATGCTCTTATTTCATTCCCTTCAAGGATAAAAGAAGCGAATATGCACATTTTACTGATATATTGATTTTATTATTTTTTTGAAGGGGGGGGGGGGTGAGTAAAATTCACAGTTACTTGAGTCATGGTTTATAAATAGCTATGTACCTTATTGATATGTAAAAAAATGTACTTTACTTTTTTACATATCAATAAGATACATACATTTTTATAAACAAAGAACCAAGTACCTGTGTAAAAGTTATCTTTTAATGCCCTATGAATAGGCCGAGCATTTGAAACAAAAGACTGTATTCAGAAAAAAAAAACTAGAATATATTGATTAAAGCACAAAATTTTACAGCTTTAATTTTGTTTAAACAGTACCTCATTCATTTATTTTCTCTTTTCATGTAAGCAAGATTATTACGAAGTACAAATTGTAGTTCGGATTCGTTGCCAAGATGCATACAAATTATTCTCACCGAAAAATTTATTAGGAAGACGTACTGCATGTATGTAATAGTCGTTCTATATATAAATATATTCACAACATATCGTGTTATCAATTATTTACCATAATTTCAATGACCATTCACACAAAAAGTTTTTCTTACTGTTCATGCAGGTATAATCACCTCGTTTTTCTTTTTAAGATCGGGATCGATGCTACCGTCAATATATATCATCTTGTATATAGTGTATTGTTAGAGGAGTGAGTAAGAACTCTTGTGCACCCGTTTCGGAGTTTACTTGCACAATTTATTAATTTATAAGTATAGATATTTTATTGAAATTGCTACGTTATTTTAAAATAATTTCTGATAATGGTACATGTCAATTTTAAACATTGTAATTTAAGTGAATCCAAAAATACTGAAATCCATTGCATTTTTCTTGGATAAGCCTCGTTTAATAAGTTCATATAAAATGTATAGAAATTAGGCAACAAATGAATTTCACTCGATCAATATATTTTATGTGAATCAGTTATTAAATTCCTACAGAATGACGATATTTGACAAAATTAATATGGAATCTTAACACATAATAGACGCATAATAGCTTCGGTATACATAGATACAGAACTGTAGCGTTATGGTCTTCAGCTATCGGACAAAAGAAAAATTCAATACAAGCAAGTTTAGTGGTCTTTAGAGACGAATATAAAGGGTAAGTAGATGGGTGAAATATACAGGGTGGTTTAAGAATGTATCTAGAATTAGGGAGGGAAACGTAGTCAATTAAACAATGCTGGATATTGGTGAAATTCTCCCCAACCGTGCGCAGAAAATCTTGCACCGTAAATTGCACCATATTTGCATTACGATCTGTAGTCTTATGGTCAAAGACTAATATAACATATAAAATCATTACGCTACAGTTCTGCAGCTATAGTATACACAAAAAGAATGCTTATATAAATGCTGATAAATGTCAAAAACTAATTTTGGTTTAAAAAAAACATCACTATTTTTGTATAATGTAATTAAATGCATTTTTTTTCGCATGTAGATATATAAGGGGTATAAGTATTGTAACAAAATGTACAAATTCTCTAATCTGCATGCGTGTTAATCACACACGAGAACAGACGAGTCCATTCTATTAGGTCGATTCATGTAGATGCAGTTCCATTCGAATAAAATAAGTATCAGTATTTTTTTAATAACGACGTCTTATCAACCTTTTCATTGATTGCAGTATATACTTTCGCTGGTACTTTGAATGTGGTCATACACGGCTTTGATCAGGAGGCGATATTCATCCTGAAAAAAATAAAATCATCATCAACATCCTTCATGAAATTGAGATTGTAAAATTAAAGGTAAATGATAATGAATAGTACATGATCTTTCATAAATTATGTTCCACATTGCACTATTTTGTTCAGAAATCTACCAGGTTATCAATCATTTAGTAAATATTTTAATTCTCTTTTTTTTCATTATTATTATTTTATTACATGTAACGTTATTCTTGCAATTTAGATGTTTGGTATTGATGAGAAAGAAAAAAATGTTCACTTTGGTTATTGTCTGATATATTGATGAAATAAAACAGAAATTCGCACGAATGAAATTTTCGCACATAGGCAGTCTCGCATAATTAAATGAAAATAAAGATCTCGTGTAAATAAAGTGATTTTACAGTAACACAAAGACCACCATAGTCGTCCTAATTTTTATCATGATTTTCTGACTTACAAGATTTGAACATAACTCTGGTCTTCTAACTTGTAATTGTCTGACAGCTGTGAAGACATCCACACTATCATCCATGTTAATCTGTTGTATCACATTATGTAGGGCACAGAAAACTCCGCACAGGGACGCCCCATCACTAGAGAAATAAAAAAAAAAAAAAAAAAATAAGTACATAGCAGTAAGAAATATTTCATAGTTTTATTTAATCAACAACATTTATATTTCTCATCAGATTATATCTAATACAGGTACATTTTTTCTATTTTTCACTATACCCTATTAACACTATATAAGTACACTTTATTGAACTTAGCATACACAGTATTTGAAATTTCAAGTTGTAACTAAAATATTTTTGATAAACATAGAAACAATCTATATTTGAACACGATAAGCAATAATCATTTTAATATTATAAACAAAATAAGAAAACAGAAGACCTGCTGACAACTGTGATAGGGTTTTCCGTTTCAACGCCTAGTGTGGCAGAAACTAGACTCCGAAGTTGAGAAGTGTCCAGAGTTGTCCCTGAAGTTTTTATGCTGACTTTTGGTTCAATTATTGTTATGGGATGAGCCTCCATTTCACTCTAAGAAAATATTCACATGATGTGACAAATATGGTAAAGATGTTATTTAAAAGAAATTAGAATTATTGACTAAGGAGAAGAATTACTTCTAAACAGAAAAAAAAAAACAAATTTGAGAATACATATGTTTAACAAACAAACAGTTCTTTTTCTTTTTTACATTTTGATGCAGGATGTGAACAACAGTGGTGTTGAAGTCATTTCCGGATTTTGATTGACAGTGGATGGTGAAAGGAGGAATTGTCTTGGAGGAGGAGGGGCTTGGAAACCACGCCTTACTCTTCAGAAAAAAAAGTATTGCGTAATATACACATGCACGATCAACAAACTAAAAAAAAAAATGAAGACTCTATGGTCAAAAGGCATTATGTATCTATAATGTTGATTTTTATTTAAAATAGTCCATCGAGAAACGTATTTTTTTTTTTAAATACATCTGTATATGTATTTCGTACACATTGTATATTTGAAGAAGATTTTTTTGAAAAATGCTTTTGCATTTCAAAAAGAAGAAAAAGAAAAAGAAAGCCGTTGCCTATTCACAAAATAGAAGTCATGAATTACAACGAAACATAGTCTAAAATAGAAGGAAATAAAAGAATATGTCAACTTTAGTCAATTAAATATCACACCGAGTCGATCTGGTTCAGGGGATCCATACAGACGAGAGTGTCGGACTCATGATCTGTGAGCAGCCGTAGAAAGTCTATAACGTCTTCTTCCTTCGGATATTGCGTTACAATAAATGCATTATTCTTGTTGTATGACTACAAAACAATAGAAAAAAAAAAACTTTATATTTCATTGTTGGTTAGGTAACATAGAGATTTAGAGAATCTTAATCAAACAACTCTATGCTATGTACACATTAAGAACATAAATCCTTCTGGTAGTCAGAGAGACGGAACGTAACTACAACTATGGACTTTTTAATATTCATTAAAAAGTGAACATTTTCATTTTTTTTTTTAATACATATTTTCTTCATTGAATACTTACTGGAGCGATGATGGCGTTAATAAAATTCCCCCTTTTAGGCACAACAGAAGAAAGATGTACGCTATATTTATCCACTGATGAAATACAAAAGAATAGATTTAAATAGATATCTTTTACACGTTTGTAAATTGTAAAGAAGATAAAATGCCAACCCTACATCGGTAATGCTGAAATCAATTTCTCATCAATCTTCAGTATATATATAAAAAAGTATTTCTTTTGGGTAAACTAACTTCCAAATTACTAAAAAAAAAAGAAATCAGTGTGAAATATATGCATTTCATAAAATTTACTTACAGGGCAATACACCGTTGAAATAAATGTCTCCACAGCTTTCCTTGGCTAGCTTGAAGTCTGCGTCGCTGTATGTGGGTCGTATCTTCATCAGAAGCTGATTTAACAAGCAAAAGAAGAAAGTTATCAATACCGTAATATAAATACATTTTTTTTAATTTTACTTTTTTTCAGCATCTTTACACCAAGAATAAGAAAGAGTTAATGTCCCAAAAGGTAATAGCAAGGTTGAAATAAAGTCTGTCAGACTGACAAGCAAAAGCGTATTCCATCCAAAACTGATCATCAAGTTGAAGGAGTTACGCTTAAAGAAGTGTACATTCTTAAAAAAAAAAATACTTTTGGGGTGTTGTTGAAAGTAATTGTTCATAGATATTTTTAATTTTTTAACGTTACTTTTTCAAAAGCAAAATTTTCAATGGTAAAGACAAGTAAAAAAAAAAAAAGCAAAAATCTTTTCTTTTTTTTTAATCGGGAAAAACAACATTTATCTCAAACACTGAGTATTCCTTCCTTCAGTCTAAATAGAAAAAAAATCTCCCAGATCAAAAGGGTACTGAACCTGTTTTCACTATGAACTTTTTTCAATTGCATCAACAAAGTATTTCATTTTTCTACCTCCTTAGGGGACTTATCCTGTACCAGAGAAGCAATACACATTGTCAATAGTGCATTCAAATTTTACAGTTCTGACTTACAGAAATGGCAATGATGTTAATGTTTTACAAGAAGAAATAAATGTACGGTCTTTCTTTTTACCTCATCGGAGTTGCTTATTCTGCTTTTACAAGAAGCAATACAGTAGCACATTTAATAGAACTGGACAATTTCGATATAGATAAATAAACATTAAGTGAATGACCCTCAGAAGCTAGAAACCTTTTTATGATGTTGAAGTGAGCACCTTGAAGAATTAGGTTTTTAAATTATCTTTGGACATGGAGATGTTTGTTAATGAATTTTCTAACTAAAAACTTTTTGTTCCAAGGATTATTCATTTAAGTTTGATTGAATAAATCTGCTAATCCTACATGTAACCCCTTGCCGCAGTATAAAAAATAATCAGTGATGCTGAGCAACCATTGTTTGTGCAGTGATGTGCCTAATTGTGCAGTTCTGATTTGGAGACATAAAAGAAATTAATCATTTGTGATTCAAAGTCCTTTAATTCAATGGAAGTTGAAGAGTACTATGTGATTTATGATTTGTGATTCAAAGGCCTTATTTTTTTCCCCCAATTATCAAAAAGGCGCTATTTTTAAAATTTAGTTTCCAAGCAATCACAAAAAATATGTACCTGAAATTCCTTTTGAAGTGCACTCTGATTGGCTGGTTTGTCAGTTCTCTTGGTTTCAGCCGTTTTAGTAAATTCATCAACGGTGATGCTGTTAACCGGGGATTTAAATATTTCATTTAAAGCAAGAAAAATGGTCATATACTGCTCCTGCAAAAATAATTAAAATATACATTATTAACAAGGACACCGCAAGGCGGAGCATCTCCTTGCGAAAGAGCACATCTATAAATCATGGCAGCATTCGAGCCCGATGCAAATTACGTCACTTCCTCTACGCACACTTCAATTACGCATAAAGGAACAAACTAACGCACCCTCACACACACAACAGCACGTTATTAAACCCCCTGCCTTTTCGTTAATACGGGATCTTGTTTTATACGGTCTTATTAGAAGGACTGTCTCCACGTCTCGCAGTGGGACTGGAAAAAGTAAGGAACAACTTACTCCGCGACTCTAGAGCCAACGCTCTAACAACCGAGCCACGCAGGCGACTGAATTCAATACTGAAAAATTTATTGTTTGACATTTTTGAGGTTGATAAGGAAAATAAGAATAGATGAGAAACATAACAAGGGCATCGCGAAGCGGAGCATCCCCTAGCAAAAGAACATTTTTATACAGTTAATTCAATGGAGCATTCTAAGACATCGAGACATCGATCCTCATGCAAATTACGTAATTTTCGTTACGCATCAAAGGTCAAATAACGTCCGTTTCGCACAAATAGACAACTCACACACACACACACACATACACACACACACACACACACACACACACACACAAGCGCGTAACTATGTCCCCTCCAACTACGCTGCGCAGGGATAATAAGAGAAACAATATGAACAAAATAATTGTAAAAGAGAGACTAACATATGTTTGGACCATATTCATTCTGTTTTCTCTCATCTTTTTGACATATTCTGCTATATTGACTTTCCCTGTCCTTCTTCCAATCTGGTTAAGTACGTCGAATGCTATGTATGTCCCCGTCCTTCCTATACCGGCACTAAAGTAAGGAAAATTTTAAGAAGACAGATAGGTATAATGTTTGTTTCACACTTAAACCGATGTCAGTAAAGCTTGTCTAAATCACATTGTGGTTTTTGAGTATCAAAGCTTCAAATTAAAAAAAGAAATCCTTCCATTGAAATAACTTTTAGAAATATTTTTGTAATATGTCAAATACAACACACCATTAAATCAAACCTTTGAAATTATTTGTGATTTTGTATTGCATTTCTTCTTACCTGCAGTGCACAACTGTTGGGGAGTTTCTCTGACTGGCTTCTGTCCTGGTCACATGATCAAGGAAAATAACAACACCAAGGGGGTCTGGGGTACCGTGGTCTGGCCAAGCAGTATAATGGTACTGGGTTACTAGACGCTTGCTCTTCGTCTAAAACAATGTAAAATATTTCGAGTAACTAAGTCTAGTATTCCTAATAAGGGCTCTAATTGGCGACTGATTTAGTCGCCATAGCGCCTAAAAAAATTTATTTGCGCCTAAATTTTTCCCATAAATCGCCAAATTGGCGACCATTTAAATTGACTTATCGATCGTAAAATCCGGAAATTATCACATATAAACAACTTTTCTGAAAAAGCGAAATGAAATTCAAAAGAAGAGGAAATAATTTTTAGCAATGGACATGTCGTGTTTTCTTCGGCACATCAATGGTCCCAATATTCTATTAACTTTTAAAGTTGGCGTCTTCGAAAAATTGCCTAGCGACTAAATATTTGCATTAGCGACTAATTTTTTTCTTATAAGGCGCCAGTTGGCGCCTAAATTTTAGAGGCCATTGAGGCCTGCTAATGTATTTCAATTTCTTGGGATTGATTAATCGCTACGGAAAGATAAAAGAACTTGTAAAATATTTTGGAAAAAAAAAAGAATATTATTGAATTTCGCATCTAGCTTTCAATACTTTTAGCTAGAAGTATTTAGGGCAAAAGGGTACATGCTACAATAAAAAAAAATCCGGATGCATACATGTAGATTATCATGCATATTTTGACTTATTTTTAGAAATTTTGCCAATAAAATGTTTCTTATATTATTTATTTATTTATTTCGACCTTTTAAGTTATTATTCTTTCTTCCTTGTGTTATTACTTTCATAAATACGCATATCTGCCTTATAGGATATTACTGGGATTTATCGAATGAGAAATAAAACGTTACTCTGCTTAAATTATTTTGCTTACTTAATCCTGTCGACTGCATACAGTAATGAACCGGGTCTTAAAATATAAAATCTCAGCATTTTATCAATTATTTAAGACATGAATTTGGATAATTTATTGGAGAAGTTATTTCTAATGGCGAGCGTTTTGGCTATAAAGAAAATTTCATAGAAAGATCTAGTCTCACCCATCATAAGCAAAAATAACAACCTCCTATTAAACATTACATATCGCTTTACTGGGTTGAAGCTTCTTAAGGTCTCTAACTATCATGCGACATTCCTAAAAATTCCTAAATCAATTAATGAGGGAAAAAAACGTCATGGTGAAATAATTTTTCTTTATAAACTTACCTCTTTATGGTATACTGTAAACTTCCGAATTATGTAGAATGCATAGTCTTTTTCTTCCATCATTTTAACCGACACATTTCCATAGCTAATGTGTTTGTTTGCATCTGGCCAATACTTGGTACATTTTGTCTTTTAGTTGATAAAGAAATAATTAAAAGGGAAACACACTTCAAATTAGATTATTTTTTTTTTGCATATTACACCTGTATTGTAAATGTTATGAGTATGTTAATATTAAAATACAAATTAATTTCAAATGCACTTTACTTTAGTCCCTTCCTTAAGGTTGGTCAACATAACAATGGTTGTCACGTGTTCTTGCCAAATCATTATCCAGAAATCAACAACTGTGTTTTGTCTCGGTCCTAAAGATAACACATGAACATTGATATTATTGATATCATTTTTGACAGATTGTGAAAGTAAGCCGTCAAATTTTACATGTAAACAAAAGGTTTGTTTATTTTATATCAAGTTTGTACCTTGCGTGGCAATATATTGCTTATCTTTTTCTGAACCCTGGAGTTAAAAAAAAACACTATATGTCTTTAATATCTTAATCTATAATATGGTCAAATATATAATACATGTATGAGAATATTTCACTCAGACTGAGCAAAATTGCACAACTTAAAAATAAATTACAGAACAAGCTTAACACATATTTTTTTTTATTCCCTGGATTTTGAATACAAGGTGATTATGTTTTGTCAATGATCGATAGGTTTCGTGAGAGAATATTCATATAATTTTTCTGATATAAAAATTCTGATATACTTCTATGTAATTGGCGTTTATGTAATCTGATCCAGTCCCTGACTTCAATTTAACTCGTGAATGGTCATCTGGATAAAAGGAAACACTTACAGTTTAAGTATTTAAGTATACGTTTGGCATAAATACAAAGCAGATAACGTTTGAGTAATTTTAAGTTAGTTCACATTACGTTTAAAAAAAAGGTTGATAGCAGAGGCGAAATAAAAATAAACTGTATTTATTGTTATCGCTATAAACAATCTGTATTCACTCTTTCTTGATCGGTTAATACTTACAGGGAAAAGTTGTCTTAAATCTATTTTTAACCATATTATCTTCGCTCTTTCCAGCGTCGCACTTGTATCGTTCACCGTACGGTAATGTCTGTAAGTATATTTTAAGAAGACGCCATGAACGTATCATCTTTGTTCATACTTTAGGCATTTTTATTTCATGCATTTCCCTTGTACTTTCTCCTTAGAAAACGAAATTTACAATCTCTTTATGCTTTGAGATTTATAAAATGAAACATAAAGAATTAATCTTCATTTTATTATTATGAAAAGGCGGAATGAATGATATTTTCAGGAAGGTAACAAATAAATATTTTTCTATCATGTTCCCTGTGCGTGCTCACCGCATATTCTTTCTGAAAGCCGTCATCTCCATTCATTCTATTTTCAGCAATAACCGATTCGAGCTGGTTTAAAGGTATTTCACGAATTATTGTTTCGTTTGCGTAAAAATCTCCATATGGATTTTCAGAGTGTATTTTCTCATCGTCATCTAATTCAACTTCAGCATCATCACTCTTCTTGTGGTGTATTACTGGTTTTTCATTATTTGTTTCCAGGTATGTATTTTCACCGTAAGAGGGTGAAGCATGTTTAGATTCAAGGCTACTGAAGTCCGATTCAAAAAATCTCATTTTGGCTGAAATAATGAATAAGTATGTTTTCATAAACCTAGTCTTTATCCCATGTTTACCCCTTTATCCCGTGGATATGACTCATTGGATATTTTTTTTCATATCCCACAGTTAAATGCAGTTGTGACGTCACAATGGTTTTTGCGTTAGAGTGATGAAGTAAAATAAAGTGGAGTCCTATATAAAACACTGTAAAACATTGATTGTGAAGTATTAAGCATGGGATAAAAAGAATCTCCCATGGTTTGTAGTTGGATATGACTTTTATCCAACTCGTTGTGTGTTTTTATCCCCTCGCCAAGGCTCGGGGATAAAAACACACAACTCGTTGGATTTAAATCATATCCAACTACAAATCATGGTAGATCCTATATTTATTGTATAATATTCAATATTAAAATTTGGCTTTCATCAAGAAAATATTTAACTACTCACAATCGCTGGTTCCTTTCTCTAGTCCAGTTTTTCTTTTAGTCTCATGTACACTGCGCCTTAATAAATGAATTAACAGCAATAGAAATGAATATTTAGATTATGAGAATACTGTAAATACAGTTAAGAAATTATCATATACAATGCATCATGAACACCATAAATTAAATTAGAAACACAAAAAGCTAACCTTCTGAAAGCGACAACCACAATCAATACAACTAAAACAGCAGTCACAAATCCTGCAATTCCGCCAATGATAATACCTTCATTATCATCAGTACTGGTCTGAGGTGAATTATCAATTCTTGTATCCCCTATTTGATAGAATTAGTTTATTTCGATTTAACCTGTGTTCATAAAATGTCTGAAATGAATCAATCCGCTAGACTTCCATTTGTAACTTTTAGATTCTGTACAATTTAATATAACTCTTTTATATCCAAACGTAATAAAGTTCTGCGATAAATGAAAGAAAACTAGTTACAAAAAAAAAATTTCCAATGCTAGACTTGTATAACCGGGTAAGAACAGATAACACGTGTTTTAATAACTTTTAAATGTATAAACCCAGATCATATATATCCTTTGGTTTGCTATTAAATTCATTCTTTAGAAATATTAATACTTGTTGTGCAGTTTAAATCTCTGTATCCTTTACTACATCCATATGGACATGTTCCGTTAATGTGATGACATGTTGTGTTCAGGCAATGACCACAAGGCAGATTACAGTCAGTTCCATACATGTTGTTACCGCACTCTAAATAAAATATAACTTTATCATTCTAAAAAGGTAAGATTTATTTTTTGTTACCATTAAAAATAGAATTATACACAGTTTTTCTGCGTCCTTAGCATCCTCCTATATGATCATAAATTGTCGAATTTCATGGAGATTATTACCATTATAGAATGTATTTATTTTGTAAAACAACAATTTTAAAAATTATTTATACATCTATTTATTGAAATGTACATTTATTCATTGATTGATTTATTTATTTTATTTTTCAAATGTTATTTTCATCGTTTTCATGATCATTTAATTTTTCTTTTTTTTCAGTTCGGTTATTGTACCACGGAAATATTTAGTGCTGGTAAACTGACGGAGACTGATAAATGTTACCATTTTTGCAATGCAGTCCTTCCCATCCCGGCTGACATCCACCTTCACATTCTCCTGTCGTTCCGTTGCATTTATTAGGTTCACCGCATTTGTCATTACAAACTTCTTCACAATTAATGCCGAATTTTCCACTTGAACAACCTAGTATGAAATGAATATTTCTTTTTTTTTTCTTTGTGGATATAATTAATTATAAACAATATAAAGGTTTGTCAATTGTTATTTTTGCATTTCTGCTAAAATTGCGTTAAAATCATAAATATTTTTTGTAAATAATGTATCATAATGCCAGTTACCAGTTGTACAAAGTTCTCCTTCAAACCCAGCGTCACACCCTTCAAGACATGAACCATTGATATGGTGACATTGTTTATATCCCAGACAGGCTCCACATCTCTGTTCACAGTCCTGACCATGTCTTCCGCCGTCACACTCTATATATATTAATGACACAGTAAGGATAATGACCAAAAATAATGGCAAAGCTTTTGATGTACTATTACAATTTTTTCTGTTATCTTTCGCTTACAAGACAATGGGAAAGAACAATGTCCGATATATAAACATCTGTTTTGAATTTGTATTTGGAAATATTGAAAAAGAGTATATTTTGTAAACAAACAATAACCAGAACAATAAATTTTTGTTTACTCTAGTGGCAAATTGAATGTTGTTAACATCATAATGAGCAATACGTAACTATATCTTTTTTAACTACAGATAAGAAAACCAAGCATTAATTTCAGCGACAACTGATGGTGACATAATGCTGTCTGGAAATCTTTTTATATATTTACGTCCTATATGTTTTCATCTGATGATTAAGTTTTATACATTATTACAAGAGGCCCATGGGCTACATCGCTCACCTTAGCACATTGGCTAGGAAAATGCACAAATCGCTTCAGTATTGAAAAGTTTAAAGGGAGGGGGCTTGGATTTTGAACTACTTGGAAAATGCACAAATCGCTTCAGTATTGAAAAGTTTAAAGGGAGGGGGCTTGGATTTTGAACTACTTGAGGATGCTTCCTTATCAATATAACAAATGGCTTTGCTGTTCTTGAGCAGATGATTTTTAAAGATTTTTTCCCTATATTTTCCCCTGTTAAAAATATGATCCCCCATTGTGAACCCTCCCTACCCCCCCTCCCCCATCATTTGAACAAACTTGAATCTACACTACCTGAGGATGCTTCCATATCAATAGACAAAACATGGCTTTTCTGTTGTTGAAAAGATTTTTTCCTATATATTCCTATGTAAAAATTGTGGTTCCACCCTACCCCTGGGGGTTATGATTTGAACAAACTTGAATCTACACTACCTGAAGATGCTTCCATATCAATATGACAAAACATGGCTGTTCCTGAGAAGAAGATTTTTCAAGTTTTTTCCCCTATATATTCCTTTGTAAAACTATTATCCCCCATTGTGGCCCCACCCTACCCCCGGGGGTCATGATTTGAACAAACTTGAATCTGCACAACCTGAGGATGATTCCATATCAATATGACTAATTATGGCTTTGTTGTTCTTGAGAAGAAGATTTATAAAGATTTTTTTCTATATATATTCCTATGTACAAATTTGATCCCCCATTGTGGCCCCACCTTACCCCAGGGGGTCGTGATTTGAACAAATTTGAATCTACACTATGTAATGAAGGTCTCACATATGTTTCAACTTTTTTTCGCCCAGTGGTTCTTGAGAAGATTTTTAAAAGTTACCACCAAATTTTCACGAATTCTTTATTATCTCCCCCTGAAAGAGGGTGTGGCCCTTCATTTGAACAAACTTGAATCCCCTTTACCCAAGGATGCTTTGTGGCAAGTTTTGTTGAAATTGGCCCAGTGGTTCTGGAGAAGTTGAAAATGTGAAAAGTTTACAGACGGACGGACAGCTAGACAGACAGTCAGACGGACAGACGGACGACGGACAAAATGTGATCAGAACCTTCGGCTCAGGTGAGCTAAAAATGTTAAGAAGGGGCTTTGGGTGCCAAATCTTTACTTGGCATTTTTTTTTCCCCTAAAGTATACATTTCTTACAAAAGACTTCGAGATTTTCTTTTCTATTTATTCGCAAATACTTGAAACGATCTATATGAAATAGATAAAAGTGAGTGTAATACAATACAATTTCAACATTCATGATTGTTATATTCAGAGGAAAATTGTCTCCATGTTCACTATATAGAGAAACAATTAATATAATTGATGATATCTTCTCAAAAATATATTGACAGTCATTTAATTTTCACTATTGACCAGCAAAGAGAGTTTTCCCCAATATTATTGACTTTGGTTTTCATTAGTTGATCGCTTTATTGTGACGTTAAGATGCCGTCGCGACTTTCACAAACCATAACGTAAGAATAAAATTATTAGGGATGCGCGATTTTATCGGTATACCGGTAAATCGCGATTTTTCATTGCTTGATACGTATCGTGATACGGAGACTAAAACACCGGTATTTGGTACATAACTATAAATTCCGGAAATCATTCATTTATTTGTTCAAACTATTGAATGACTATTATAGGAAGTGTAAAAAAAGGTTGAAAACAGTTAAACAACGGCATCAAAATATTCTATATATTAAATAAATGAAAATTTAAAAAGTAAAGTTATGTTTTTATAGCATATTTTTAAGAAATATGATGGAGATTCATTTTAAATTGTAGTAAAAATTGTGTGTAAAAGTATCACGATTTATTGTGATATTTTTGGGAAAAAAATCGTGATATATCATGATACGAAATTTTTGCCGATACCCATCCCTAAAAATTAAGGTATCACAACCATGGCAACAAGAGCACCCGCTTGCACTATCGTAAATGCGCATATGATAAATTTTTGAATGTTAATAAATGAAATCAAAATACAATATTCTTGATTTGTTTGTATTGTTTTTTAGTGGTTGCCTGTGTTTTCTGGTGGCACTGATGAATTATTGCCTGACGCGAATAATCTTTGGTCTGATCTGCTTCGGGCAATATTTCATCCCTAGAGGGCTAAATAATCAATGCTACCCTAAAACCCAGTCAACATTTGTACATGTATATCACATTCAGAAGATTTACGCCTTGGAGAATAATTGAAAAAATGCCTTCTATTTGTACATCGTTTACACATATTAATTGTAATTGTGACTGGGCTAAAGTTTTTTTTCGCAAACAAAGAGTAGAATTACCATCTCTGCAAAAGAGTCCCTTCCATCCAGGTTTACACGGAGATGTACATTGTCCGGTGAATCTATCACACTGATCACAGTTACTACACATCTGAGAACAGTTTTGTCCATGAAAACCAACAGGACATGCTGAAAACGAGCAAAGATTATCAAAATATTTTTCATGAAGAATAAGAAAAGAATGTTAATGTCTTTTATTGTGAGGAAAGTAATTGAGTCAATATATGTGCATGCATATATACACCAGCAAGAATAAAGTGTGCTATTAACTATACATATATAGACTTGTGGCAAATATTTCTTTCAAAACCAATATTTTGATCAAAGTTTCATTATTTCATTTATGTTTTCATTTTCCTTCCAGCAAATTTGTCTCATACATAAAAAGTTCGGATGTCTTTCCGTTTTCGGATGAGATCTCTCTTACATTTTAATGTACAAATTTATATACGTAGAAAGATACATAAAGGCAATGCGTGTTTTGTAATACTTTAAAAAATCCATGAAAAGGCGAGTAGGTTTATATTGTCAGTAATATTTATGTTCACGGAAATAATGATATGCACTTGATTTAAAAATAATAATAAGTATGGTCATTTTTTTTAAATGGGGTTTTTACCCACTCCCAAATCAGGGTGAAAAAGGGTGGGTACCCTAACAAAAAAATACTATAGTTCACTATAGTTTACTATAGTTAACTATAGTGAACTATACAGTGCAGGGAACTAATTTTGTTACAAAAACCAGCATCAGCATAAGCATTAGTAGCATCAGGATCGAGCTCGCATCAGCATTTAAAAAACAGCATTACCAGGATTAGCATCAGCAAGCAAAGGATAAAACCAGCATTGACCTACATAAAATCAGCATTATCCTACTAGCATCAGAAAATCAATGAGTTTTAATTCAGTAAAAAATTAAAGAAGAAAGAAAGAATATTGGTTAAAGTATTCACATTATTGATACATAGTGAGATATTATGATCAAATAATTGTAAAAGGCACTTTTATTGCTTTAAACGGCAATGCTGAAATTCATTATCTACTTCCGGTAGCATTGACCTAATTATAAAACAGCATCAGGATAAGGATAACTAGCATTAAATCAGCAAGCAAAGGAAGCATTCAAATCAGCATCGATGCTGTAACAAAATTAGTTCCCTGCACTGTAGTAAATCAAAGTGTCAAAGTGATCACTCTAGTAAATCGAAGTTTTCAAAGTGATCACTATAGTGTCATAGTGATCACTATAGTAAATCAAAGTTTTCATAGTGATCACTATAGTAAATCAAAGTGTCAAAGTTACCACTATAGTAAATCAAAGTGTCAAAGTTATCACTATAGTTAACTATTGTTAACTATAGTTAACTATAGTTAACTATAGCATTTTTTTGTTACGGTAGATAGTGTTTTTTCCGCATCTGACTAAATTAAGATTGTATTTAAATTAAATGATATAATTAAAAAAACAATATTCACGGAATGACAAATTTCAGAAACAAGACAGGATAAGACTCTGCAATTTTGTTAATTGAAAGGTAACTGAATTCTTCAAAAGGGTGACTGAATGTCAGAACTCTGCCATTCAGTAACCTTTCCAAACCTTTCAGTCATAATTTAGTTGACTGAATGGTATTGGGTCATCCTGTAATGAATAAAAAATATTCTTTAACAGCAGATTTAAAAAAGTTGACTCCGGTCATTTCTAGTCATTCTGTCCAAAGAGAACAAACAGTCGATTTTGAAATGATGAATAGCAACTTTGCAAAATAATTTAAAAAAAAGTATCTTTTGATTTATGACAGCTCTTACGTGTTTGGCATTTATCTCCATAAACTCCTACATCACATCCGTTTGTACAGCTTCCGTTGACATGTTGACACGTTCTTCCCTCACTACAGTTACCGCATTTCATAGAGCAGAGATGTCCATAAAACTGACTACTACAAGCTGAATTAACAATTATTGTTTCGATACTGGATTCCATAATCAGGAATGGTTCATCAAGTACATAACATCATTTTTTAAAATAACAATATTGCTGAAAAAAAGATACATGGTATGGTTCCTGAATTTTAACACAGACGTCTGAGGAAACATATAGGTAGTCCGATCCTTGGGTTCTGAAAATCAGCTTTAAGTAATTGAAAATGTTCACAAAAATGTCTCTGATTTCACATAGTAACGTGAGTTTACCCATGGAATTTCTTCAAAGGTCATCATTATAGTTAATTGTATTAT